CTACTACTACTACTACTACTACTACTACTACTACTACTACTACTACTGTTTTGGTTATAGTTTGACAACTTGTTAACAACCGCTATGGATCCACTGCCACCCTCTAAGGTACGGTGAAGAAGGAGACCCTCAAATTGTAGGCAAAGTGAGGGTCCACGCACCTTCACAGAGGGTGGCAGTGGATCCATAGGGAAATAGAGTTTACTGTATGCAGTTGTGTTCTTGCTACTAGTAACAAGGGCATTACTACTAGTAGCAAGGTGCCTTACTAGTAGCTTGTTGCTAGCAAGGCAGTACTGTAATCTAACATTTTTTGTAAGGAAGTGTCGCGAGGTGAGGAACTGCGACGGGCGATTAGTGAACTTAGACGGGCGAGAAACTCGAGCTGTGATTCCGCTTTGGTGGGGGGAAAATGCCCTTGTTCCTACAAGGCCAAGATGGGCCTAGGTATGTCTAGGTATGTAGTTTGGTCAGCGACCCCGAGACGGGTGAATGTGGCACCCCTCAGCTTTTGATGACTCATCTAATGTTGTACTGTAATCCCCAAATCTTTGCCTTACGCCAAAAAGCTTTTCCATCACTCACCTGATCTCACGACCCAAGCCTCTAAGCGATGCACCGCCCCTCGCGTTGCCTGGATTGTCATATGAAGAATGCCTTCGGTTGGTCTCCGATCAAGTTTCAAGCCAGCTGTTCGTGCTACAAGAAGTTGATGAGCACTGTAGAGGGGCCAGTGGTCGGAGCCAGCACTCCTCATCAGTTTTGACTTCCCCTAACATCAACTGCCGAGTCTGCATTGACTGATTCGCCTGAACATCCTTTAGCATGGTTCAACTTCAACATTAAAACCATCAGATCTAAGGTAAAATGAACTCACTGTTCCCCCCGAGTTTGGCCCAGTATCTAATCTATGCCAGGGTCCAGGCAAGGAAGCACGGTGGTATGTGTCCTACATCAATCATACATCCCTATGCTTTTAGATGCGTGGAAGCAGAAGCGACGTCATATCGGTAGTTGGATATCCTTTGGTTCAGAAACTCAGGGGCATACAGAACCTTGTGGTTGGTCTAAGCCACTTGATTCATTGTGTGTTCTCTACGTGGGGTTGTTTGTCACTTGAACCTCCACCTATTAAAGTAGCTACGGTGGTACCATGTGGTACCGTACCTCTTTTGTTGGTGTCATCTCTCGTCATGGTCGGTCCTTCGTGTACAGACCCTGACATGACCATCAGACACAACTGTAGCTATGAGGTACGACCAGGTCGACTCCAGGTATTTCCACATAGCATTGAGGATGCAAAAAGTGCTTTCCTGCCTGGGGCCCCAGTGGTTGCCCTTTGAGCTACGAAGTCGAGTGCCGGGGTTGACCTCGCTTGCCAGCGCCCAGGTTGCAGTGGATGTCCAGCGCCCAGTGTTTGCCCAACCGGGTCTCCTTCAGCGCAGCGATCTCTGCCTGCGAAAAGGCCTGGCAGTGGCAATGGGCGCTGCACCTGCAACTTGGCGGTAGAGAAGTTGCGTTGTACTTCTGGGGAATCACTTAGACTTATGGGTCAAAACCTGGAGCCATGTAGCGAACGACTTGAGGGACGGACCGGCAGGTGTCCTGAAAGCGAAGCAGAGTACCATGAGGATCATCAGCTGGAATGACGTCGGTCAGTATGGTAGTGGATCTGGTCTTAGTGGTCCATGAAGGCGAAGTCTTTCGGCGTCTCGCTGTGTCCTTGCTTTATGACCTGGAACTTGACCGGGATCAAGGTATAGCTTAGCAATCGTCTCTGCGTCAAATGGTGCCTGTGGTCCACTGGACACTGGATGATAGACTCGTCTTCTAAAAGGCATTGACAGGCTTGGAGGGAGACAATTGCATGCGGTGATGTCTGCCACGTTTGACACTGGAACGTGTGCAGCCCTGGCGCATCTTGCCTTGTTGCGACCAGAATCGGTCTTGGTCGCGACTGTGGGAGTATGTCTTCAAGACTTGGTGTGTCATCCTCTGATGGCAAGCTATGGCTTTGGCCACATGTTCGATCCACTTTCAACGGCACGGTCCTTCGACACAATGGTCGTATCCGATTTCTAGCTGCGACGGATGTAGAGGACTTGGCATTTAAACCTCCCTATCATCCTGATGGGGTTGTTTCTATGCAATTTGCGAGTGCCGAATTTGTTGCCCGGCCACCTTTGTCCCTTACGTATGAGCAGTGTTTTCTTTATCGGCGTTATATTCGCAAAGCATGGGCCAAAGGTGGTGATCTTGATGCAGTGCCGGTCCCCTCACCACCGAAGTAGGTTCTTGAACTTGCTACATGCAGAAGCCACGAGGATATTCGGTCTCACGTAGCTAGTCTGACCTTATGATTTGTTTTTGTTTGATGTGTACAGTGCATGTTTTGTAGATACTCTACCCAACTCCCCAGTACCCACCAAGAGGTGAAGGACTCGGGGAAGCGCAGACCCTGGAGCGCAAGTGATGTCGGTAGGTCAACCAAGGTATCCTGGTGCCATGATCCACAGCCACTTAGATCGGTTTCAAGTCAAAGTGGTGAAACAAAAGCATTTCGCATACGATGCTTGACCCACAAATAGACTAGCTTGGGGTATGGGAGTTACAAAAAGAAATGAACAGCGACTGCATCATCTCGAAGCGGATCCATTATGGGGGTTGCTGCCTCCTTTCTAGACAAACAAGTGGTAACAGTGAGATCCATCCTTTAGTTGCCAGCTCGCCATCGCTGCCAAAAACATGTTCATGAACACCGCGCAAATGTTGGACATTGCAACATCATGGAACGTCCTTTTGTATGGTCATACGGGTTTTCTTCAGTGGTGCATGTATGCATCTGTCCTCCATCAAGAACCTGGGTGTTTCTCACAGTATATTTGCAAAAACTGAGCTACAGCAGACTGCCTGCAAAGAGAAGACATGGTAGACAAGCAACTCATAAGCTGTTTGGTTGGAGTGGTGTGGTCATCGGTCATCGTGGAAGAATTTTCAGAACACTGTACCCCTACGATGGAAGGCTGGTTACGAAGATTGATAACCAGTTTATGTTCAGTTCCCGGCAGTTTGTCTGGCTCACTCACATGGAAGTGGATGGCACCCCCTGTGTCGTAAAACAAAACCACGTTTTCCTTTCTTGTCCATCCACGTAACCATGTGATGTGAAACAGAATGATGGCCACTCGGACGCACCTCCTTCCGCCGAACTCGGACGCACCGCCACCAGCTCCACTCCGGACCCATCAAGTCAGTCGTACCGAACCAGACAGGACCCTCGGTACGACAGCCTACAGAACAGCGTCGAACAGATCACCTTCTCAGAGGGGTGGATCCTTAACTCCTCTTCTTCGCATGGAATTGCTCTGAACTTCTAGCATTGAACAAAACCGTTTCTGTGGTGTTTTGAGTGAACGTGTTTCCGGAAAGCCGATCGCCAAGGCCGGAGGCCAAACCCTGCAACCGTCCATATGCATGGTGGTTTACATGGAGTCCGGAGCACGCACTCTGCCGTTTGCCCAGGGACAGGCCATTAATAATTCCACGTCCAAATTCGGCAGGGTCGCGCCAGCCACTGTTGGAATCTGAAATGGTATACCGTAATATGGTGGTATTGAACACTGTAATTAGTTTGATGAAACTTAAACTAGTTGACATACCCATACATACCCTTCAAGTTCCCCTCTGTGTCGCTTGGCTTCCCACTTTCACTGGATCGACAGACCACGAACCGCCCAGGTTCCGCGCGATGCCTGCCGCAGGACTGGCGCCGCAGGCCATCAGCTTTAGCGCGACGATCAGTGCCTGTGCGACTCGGTCAGCGACCAGACGTGAGACCGCCCTGGGTAAGTGGGGATGTCTTGGTTGGGGGGGTCGAAGTCTGACTGGGGATCATCAGATGCAGAAAGACGATCAGATCAGTAGATCAGCGTTCGTCCTTCTATTTTGGGGTTCCTAAAGCAAATCCATGAGGGAACCTGTTGAGGTTTCATAGATAAGTAAGAAGCTATATGCATAGTAAGCCAATGATGAGCAGCTGGAAGATGATTCAGTGGTTTCAGTGCCGAATCTATTCCCGTCACTGGCGCCTGAGATGGGATTCTGGAAAAGGCTCCGCAGCATGGGTCGAAACTGGGTATATAGTTTTGTAATTTTTTGTATTAGTGAGTATATACTTGAGTACTTTGAGACGCCAGATATAGTCTGGGGATCCAGGTACCTCAGAATGTGCGACGACCTTACAAATAGGAACCGTAACCTGGTATCTAGTCCAACAGTTGGGTTCTTCAACAGTAGGGTCCGGTAGCTCCTTTTCGGATGGAGAAACGAAGCTGAGTACGTGCCCGAATAGATTGGTTCCTTAGCTTTAGGTTATCAACTGCAGGCGGACCAGATGAGTTACCAGCTAACCGACCACTTGCCCCAAGGAGAAAGGTGAACAATGGCCCTTTGCTTTGCAGTTGCTGCGCGAGCTGCTGAGCGAAGAGTGGTTGTCGCTTTTTGGGTTCGAAGAGTTGTTTTTAGCTGTGAAATGCATAGAGGGACATGAGGGGTCCTCTCAAATACAATTTGGACCCGAGCAAACGCAAATAACCCTCTTACAAACAGGGACTTGTACCCTTGTTCTGAGGTATGCACCAGCGATATCCACGTAGTGTTGATGGAAAAATCCTTCTCTACCAAGAAAGCCAAAGTTTAGCTTAATTATGTAATTCCCCAACCTTCAGGTGGTTCCCTCAAAAGCTGCGAATGCTGCGTCTTAAGAGACTGTGGGCAAGATGAACAGTATTCTTCTAGCTGCTGCTTAGGAGGTTAAGGAGGCGGGGATATCCGTATTCCCCATCAAACAGGGAGCTGCTCAGAACTACATGGAGTTCCCCAAGCCGCGACTGCCGGTCTTTCGATTGATCCGATGTCTAGGTGATCAGGTGAGCTGGTGTCTCCATCGCATTCGCTGGGTGAGCTGGTGCCCGATGTCTCCCGACGAAGACCTTCCGGTAAACCATGTGTTTCTTCTCAAGAAGAAGCTGAACAAAAACACAAGGTGACGGTATACCCTCTTCCTTTTGCTCAACAAAAAGAAGAGGTGTAATGAGGCCCTGCCTAGCTTGACCATTTTTTGGGAGAAGAACACATGCCCTTCGATTTCACAAGAAAGAGACGCTGGCAGAGACTCGCAGAGAACGTCGTGCTGGCTAAAAGTGGACGGATGACGAGTCCTTTCTCAATTTAAACACAGTTTTGACAGCTGGGTTGGATGAAATGAAGTGCTGGTTTTTACATGTGGAAGCTTGAAATGAAGTGATGGTTTTTACATGTGGAAGCAAACTACGAACAGCGCTGGTGGACATCAGGACATCCTTTATAATCAGTGTGATTCATATCACCAGGGGCATCCCTTGTGTCACCCCCCCCCCAACACACACCTCGAAATCGGTGTGCTCCAGAATCTGTGCGTTGGCTAGGATGTCATCGGCCCAGTTGGCTTACGATGTGTTCTGCTGCAGTGCGACCATCAGCGCCTGTGAGAAGGGCTCACAGTGGCTCACGGCTTTGGACCTCTTGGAGTTGATGTGACTGGGCTGGTGGCGTTGGACTTGGTGATGCCAACACTTGGAAGGCAACGAAGTGGTCCTCTTTGAAAGGAACGCCGACATAGATCATCATAGATACTGGATGTGGTCCTCTTTCGGAGTTTCATTTCATGTTGTTTGGGTGTATTTCAGGTGACCTTTGTGATCCAAGAGGCAAGACATATCAGCACTTCCGAATCCCAAGATGCCCTGCATGCTGTTTACCTCAAAAAGAATCGCGTGTAGGGCTTTGCTTGAGGTGTTGTCCCACAGGGAAAAATGACCTACCCATGATCCATGTAAGTAAATCTGGCCTACATGTGATGTTCTTTTTTGTGCTGAATGTGGATCATGTTTCCTTGCAAGGAGTGGGAGTGGGGCATGGAGTGGGGGCAGTCGTTGTCGATGTCTTGTTCGGCCACGCAGGCAACGGCAGCAGGTGTCTCCCAACCTCATCAGCTACACTGCAGCCATCGCAGCATGTGCACGTGCTCAGCACCGCGGCCGGGTCTGCTACAGTGTGTGTCCACACTGTGTGTTCAAGGTACTTTTGTGTTGGGCACTGTATGTCCCTTCAATTACTATATATATGGTTGAGTCCTTCTGGCATGTTCTGACTACCTAGGATCATCTAGGACCTACCAAGCATCAATTCCTAGTCTTAGTAAGTCTTAGTAGGGTCATATTCAAACAAATCTGAGTTCTTCATGGTCCATTGGTCTAGCACTTTCCATTGACTAGAGGGTGTCATACTTCTTAGGCTTTGATTCTAACTGCTTTGGATTTGCGCATGGTGTCTCTGCACGGGCCTTGTCAGAAGTAGCCCCTGGAAACCTGGCAATGTTTGGAAAGATGTATCCCAGACAGACCTGTGGGGGACTAGCATATTCACCTACATTCAGGTGATTGAAAAGGGGTCAATGTAGGCAGACAATGGAGCATGCGGGTACAGTGAAAGTCCATGGTCATTGAATCGAATTGAATTACGTCTTGTGAGTCTTGTGGTGAGAGAGTAGGAATCTTGGGGCACTTCTTTCATCTCCCACCAGCGTTCCTTTTGAACATGCCTCTATAAGATCTATAATTCATCGAACCAAGCCAAGTCATGGAGGTTCTTCAAAGGTCATGGCTCCTCCCGTCACCTCCCTCCACCGGGTCGACTGAGATGTTTTCCTCGGGCGAGTAACGTTGACGGAGATGAGGCAATGGAGGTACGCCTTACATCTCTTTGATGTAATGAGGCAGCGGCAGATTTCTGCAGACCATATTTGCCGCAACTTGCTGCTTCAATGCATGTCGAACCAAAAAATCTACGAACTGTTCAAGTCTTCGAAGGGCGAAGAGTGAATATGTTTGGTGGGTGTTCAGACAGATTCTCAGTTGAAGACCGGTGCGAACGAGCGCTAGCAGTGCCCTGGCAGTGACCGGTGCGAACGAGCTCTGAACTAGATTCCCTTTACATGTGTCTTCAGGGAAGACGCACCTTCAAATCAGCCAGGAGCCTTTAGCAATACAGAGAAATCAGAGCTCCAAGCGAGGAATGATAATGAATCATCTATTGTGGCTAAAAACAACTTAAGTGACCCCTTCTGTGGATCCAGACTTTGGCCTTTCACCATCTGCAATCAAACAGGACCTGGAGATGGTCACGTTTCAGGGTGAGACATCACGTTATTATGCGTTATTGAAGTTTACGTCGGCCGGTCTTTTCCTGAAGTCTCAGCTCGTAGCTGCGAAAATGAGTGTACAGTTGCAAGCACCTTCTTTTTGTTTGGGTACCACCTGGAAAAAACAGGTTTGGCTGATGCAGAATCCTTCGATTCCCAGCCTGGAGAATAGATACGGCCCGTCAGCACTGGTCGGTCGCCTGTCTTCGCGAGGGCCACCCCGGCTCCACTCACGAGCTAGTTGGAGCTGTAGGTGCGATTGAAGTCGGGTAGGTATGTAGAATCCTAATTATAAGTCCCTAGGGCTCCAACCATATCCTCAGAAGGTGGCTAAACCCCCCTGTCAACCTCAGAAAGTGGAGCCCTAAGGAGTACCCCGGCTCCCCCAGCGGTCGGGAGTCACATGGACTGTCGGTACAAAGGATCCGATTGAAGGGGACATCACCTATAGGACTGACCAGTGGACTGACCTTGCCGAGACTCGATGGAGTAGCCTGATCATCCCAACTGGAGTAGCCTGAGCTGGGTACTCCAGCAATGCTGTTGGCGACGAGTCGCTGGAAAAGAGGGCGACTTAGGGCGACTTCGCGACTTGAGAGAAGAACACATGCAAGTTTCTTTGATGGTTGAAACTTGACTGAAGAATCTGAAGAATTAATATTAATTTTGCCCCGGCTGGTTCTTTAGTTTGTGCCCACATTGAGTGTCTGGGACTCTCCCGGTTGTTTGCCGTTGGAGAGATGTGCCTTCGCAGCCCGGGAAGGAGTTCCTGGAAGGAGTATGAACTGAGTTCCCCCTGCAGAATACAACCTTTCACCATCTTTCACCCTTTTTGGGTGAACAAAAACAGTGTCAAAAAGTCCAGGTGGAACCTTCACTGCACAGCCCGACTCTCTCATGCCCACCGGATCCCTGGCCCGGACCCGCTCTCCCCCTCCGTTCGGACCCCACGGCTCCGCGCGATCCGAGTCCGGTCCCATGACTCGCGGACGCGAGCGCTGGACCCGACTGGACCTAGATACCTTCAATTAGATACAGATCTTCCGTCACCGGCACGTTGACAGGGTGCAGCGCCGGACTTCCAACTCCGGCGTTTTTCTGGAGTTGGTCCAGCAGTTTTTCCAAGTCACTTGATGTGGATTCTCAAGGCTTTGCATTCTTTGTGGTCCGCACTTATTTGAAGGTAAATCATGGTAAATCCACTACTGACGAATGATTTTGCTTGAAAGTGTGCTCGTCTACCTGTTCCGCTGTTTTCTCATTCCACCGGTTTCAGCAGTGGCTCACACTGGCTCAGTCAGATCCGATTAGATGATCTTCTAAATGAATTCGGTACAGTGCGATGCACGTGTTGGAAGACGCAAGTGTTCCTAAGCTGAAAGAACATATAGGCGGTTATGTATTCCCATTGTTTCAGGATGTCGGGGCGCTGGGATATAGTTCTAGCTGCACAGGTTTGCAGAGCCTGCCGGACAAGCTTTGGGCTGTGGAACGGGTGTTGCTCAGCATCTCAATGTTTGGCACGTTTGGCAGAGAGTTGCCAAACAAAAGCACGTCGTAACTCCGGCGTAATTTTCCGGACTCAGTCTTTTGAAGGTTTTGAATCTTGAAAAGTTTTTTTTCTTAGGAGTGCTTTGGCTGGAACCATGAGTTGTCCTACGTATATCACGGGGTCGAGGCCCTGAGGCAAACTATAAAACTCCTGGGGAGCTTTAGAGATACGGTTGCAGAGAAAGAGGGGCTCCTTGCCATATACTCCTTGGTTTGTTCTTCAAATTTGTTTGGGCACAAGTTTATGTATTTTTTTTGTGATGGTTCAGCTCTTAGGCATTTCGGAAGATGGGCGAGGGCAACGGGAACCGGAATGCTCCAGTGTTTGGTTCTTTTAATGAGTGTGCTTCAGAAAAACTACTGGTGGCGCAAAGGCAGTTTGCTTGTGTATGATCCAGCCTTTCATCATCTCTGTTCTTCAAAATTTTGGATCCGGATGTTCTTTCGGTCTTCGGCGTTTTTTAATTGCAATCCGGCGGAAAATTTTGCCGGATTGGGGTCCGGAACTGTTTTCAGACCAAAGGAGGATCCAGGTATATGTCTCAACTGTTTTCGGGTTCCAACTTTGCCTCGTTGGGTGCAGGAGATTGGGTGAAACAAAAATGGATCAGTGACACGACCCGTCTGTGATTGGCACAGGTGACTCCCATCACTTGGGGTGGTTTAATCTTTTAGCTGGTCAATGGTATAAGCATGTATAATCATATTACTCATGGTCATTTGACACATGCAGTGTTGGGGGATGTGGATTTGATCTCGTGCATTCGGTCCACAAAGTGGAGGGTTGCGGCCTGCGACCTCCGGCCAGGCTGCTGGTCGAGGTGGGGGACTTGGATTTTCGACTGCCTGGGATAATGGCTGTCCAGGTGGAGGAATTTGAAAGGAGGCCAAGGGTTGTACTGAGTGCGTTCCACGCTTCAAGCATTTGGTTTCAAACAACGCACTTCTTGCCAAGTTGGTACAAATCACTCTTTGAGCACACAAGGTGTAACTTTGAGCAGTGCATCAATCCATATCAATCTGGAATAGGATTGGCGGTTTGTTTCCGGGGGGGGCCGTTCACATGAGATTTAGGCAAAAACTATATAACGTCAGAAAACAATTAAAGTTCCAAACGCTCCACGGAAGCAAATATGGCCTGCATTCACTACCCCAAACCACCCAATGTAGGCCATATTTGCATACACGGAGCGTTTGGGAATTGTTTGAACATCTTAATAAAGGCCCCAAACAAACCATCCGACTTGGGACAGGTGAATCAATCGGAGACGCATGAGGCTGGCCATGATGGGGTTTGCATCATATGCCTGTGCATGCCATGATTCCAGATCCCCATCACGCCCCTGCTTTTGGGGAGCCGATCTGCAGCTCGAGGCATGCAAACATTCTGGATTTCTTGGTGGCTATTGGGCCTTCTCTGGTGAAGATTCGAAAGTTCTTCATTCATGAAATGCCACCAGGGTGGTGAAGGTAGAACATGGAGTTTCAGCACTTTGCACACCACCTGCCTTTGCCTGAATCGAAACATGGCTTTACCTTCGATATCGCCTTTTTGATCCATGTTTATCATTGTTTTTGTTACACACGACATTATAACGACCTGGTCGCCGCTGGTCGGATACCCTATTTACTGTGATCACCCAGCAAACGGGAAGATAGCTGCTCAAAACAGGGTGATCGATCAGTACACACCTTATGCATTGACAAAGGATGAGGAAAGGACAATTGGCAAAATGGGTGCAACAGTGATTGGGTTCAGAGGAACAAAGCAGCAGCGCATCTCGAGCGAAGAACAAATTGATGCTGCATTGACAGACTTCTTGGAGCCCACCCTGGCAAATCGAAGAAGTGGCAAGCTGAGAGATCTAACCAAACCGCGGATCGATTGTTTGTTGAGCAGCTACAAGCTTCAGGACTTACAGCGCAATTTGCGACAAACCAGATGGGGCAAAGACACCGCCAAGATTGTTGATAGCAGATGGCGACCCAGGCCAGGTGATTGCTCTACTGACTATTGCTATATGTGAGCATTGTCTCTACCACAAGCAAGCAGACCGCTCCATCAAACATGGCCCGTGAAGCACGCCAACAAAGATTGCAGTCATAGAGAATCCAGCTTCGTCAAAGCTTTGATTGTTTCCAACATGGTGATGCAGCCTTTGCTTGGCTGGGGTTCAAGGCGAACACACCCATCATGGTCATCAAGAATAAGAGCAACCTGATCGTAACTAATCCTACTGAAGTCCTTGAAGCTGTTCAGCGTGCAATGCTGCCTTTCTTGAAAACGCAGTCTTGCATTCCCACAGTGCCCGGTACCAGACATCACAGGTTTGTATCTCCAGCCGAAAATCCTCTAAGGACTCCCGAGCTGTTGCCGTGGCGGGCTCCTGAACTCCAAGCCCTGCCAGACCTTCTTCGCATGGCCACAGCGCGTGCCTTCAGGACACGATTTCCACAACTCCGAAAGAAACCGATCGTGCTCCAAGCACCACCTTTGTTGGAAATTGAACAAAGCAAGAATAGGTCTATCCACACGAGCTGTAACCAACCTCTCTCAACTAAACTATACACCGCCTACACCAGCGCAAGATTTGACCCACTGACTCGATGGAGGGAAGCCTGGCTCCCACCCTGCGCACGAGGCGCGCGTAAAAACAACCAAAATGCACAATGTCTCGTGGCAGCTTGCTCTCACGCTTCTTGGGTGGCTTGTGCATCAACCATCCGAAACTTGTTGACCTGTCGCAGGACTTTGTTGGTCATACCCTGCTGACCATCACCCCCACCATCGCCACCACCCCCAACCATCACCACCATCACCATCACCACCTTCACACCACCACTACCATCACCACCATCAGCACCAGCAGCACCACTACCATCATCACCACGTTTAGATCTCTAGACTTTCTGCTTCTACACCTTTAGAACCTTCGACCGTTAGACGCATTGTTGGTCTTTTACCGAGATATCGTTTTCATATTTTACCTGGGAACCCAAGGTATCCACTAGCATATATATATATATATGTCTCAAGTGAGTTGATATCACCAACAGTTGATGCACGGATCCACTGTATACGTTTAGACGTTTCGGGGGATTCCCACTGCTCCCAGTCGGTGTAGGAAG